ATAATAATAAATAATGATAATTTAATAAAATAATAATAATAATAATAATAATAATATTAATAATAATAATAATAATAATAATAAATATTAAAATATCATTAATAATAAAAATCTAATTATAAAATAAATTATCTTAATAATTTAAATATAAATTATATATATATTTTTTTGTTTAAATTTTTATAAATTATTTATAATAATATAAAATATTTTTATATAAAAGAAATTTTAATACAATAAACAAATATTTAATCTTCTGTTTTTTTTTAATTGTATTTTTTTTATTTAAAAATTTAATTACTTTATTTGATAATATATATTAATTATTAATAATGAATATTTAAATATATTTATTTATAAAAAATTGATGATATATTATAAATTAAGATTAATATATAATTTTAAAATATTAATTAAATTTAAATTTAATACTAATTAATTAATAAAAAAAATAAAAAATATTTGAATTTTAATTATATACTTTGTTTAAACATAAATTATATATTTTATATATATATATTTTTTTTATAAATAAAATAATTAAATTATATATATAAATTTTATTTTATTTAAATATTTTTTTATATAATTTTAAAGTTTTTAAGTTTTTATTTACAAATGATAAAAATATATAAAATATTATTCTTTTTATTTTTATATACTTATTTATTGAATAAATATATTATATATTTAATATTTTTATATTTATTTATAATTTATTAAAGTGTAAATAATGTCTATTTAAAATACAAATTAAAAAAGTCATAAAGATACAGTTTTTAAAGAATCTTAAGAATTAATAAGATAATAATATAAAGAAACTGCAGAGTTTATAAGAGAAAATTATTTACCCCATTATAATTTATATTAAGTTATAAAAATATTTTTTTTAAAGATATATATTTGTATATATTTTTAATTAGAAAACTATGATTTTAAAAAAAATTAAATGTTATAAAGATAATCCATAAAACACTATAATTTTTTATAATTGTATTGATGATATAGATTAAATCATGTAAACGAATTCTCGTCTTCTATAAAGTTAATATTAATAAATAGATGTAAATTTTATAAAAACAATACATATATTTATTTTTTATTTATATTTTCAATAAAATATTTTTTTCTTTAAATATTTTTTTTAAAATCATTCAAATATCTTTTATTTTTAAAATAATTTTAATAAAAATAAATTAGAAATAATAAATATTAACTTTATTTAAAAATATAAATAAATAATACAAACATAATATATATAGGAAATATATAAGCAATGTTAAAATAACTGTAAAATATACGAAAAATAAACTGAAAAATATACATAGAATATGTAAAAATGTAGTGAAAATATGAAATATTAGTGTATATAAATGTATGAGAATTTTTATTATTCAGCATTATCCTAAATCGAAGAATATAAAAAATTAAATTAATGAAAAAAAAAAAATTATAAAAAAATAAAAAATCCAAAATCTAAAATCCAAAATTTATTTATAAATAAAAATATTAATTAATAACATAATTAAATATAAATATATATATATATATATATTTAAATATATATAAGATATTTTTTTTAATTTATTTATTTTTCATTTAAAAATATGGACATCCTTTATTTTATAATATAATTATTTTTCGAAAATTTAATATTTATTAAGAATCCAGGTATTTTTTATAATTTCATCAATACTAAGTCTATTATCTTTATTAATTTACAATAATTGTTTAATAAATTTTTAAGCCTAAATACTAATTTATTCATAAAACCTAAATTTCCCCTCTTAAATTTTTTTAAGTGTTTCTTTTTAACTATTTTCATAGAAAGGTACTACACCTTAAAATAATTAATAAGTCAGTACTCCAAAAGCCCAAATATCAACCTGAAAATTATAATTTTAACCTTTAATAATTTCAGGACTTAAATAATCTAAAGTCCCACAAAAAGTATTTCTGGTTCTTTAATTTATACAAAATCTGCTATAACCAAAATCTGCGACTTTAGCTATTCCCTAAAAAATATTATATATATATTTACTAATAAAAATAATTATTTGTTTATTTACATTTGTTATTATTATATTATTTGCTTTAATATCTCTATGTATAATATTATTATTATGAATATAAAACAAAGCTTAAGCTATTTAAAATAAATAATAAGAACCTTCATTTTCTTCAAATCTATTATTTTTTTATTGGTTTAACTTTTCTTTTAATTGAATTCCGTCTACATATTCCATTAATAAATAAAAATATTTAAAATCACTAAAAAATCCATATAATTAAACAATATTTGGATGTTTACAGTAAAATTAAATCTTAATTTCATTACTAAATTGTTCTTCCATTCCTTCTTTTCTTAACTATGCTTTGGTAAGTTTTTTACAGCCAAAAGAAAACCTGACTATATATCTTAAGCTAGAAAAACCTCCGAATATTTTCCTTTTCCTAGACTTTTGATAATTTTTAAATTATTAAAGCCATATTTATAATTACTATTAGGACTATTTAAATTAGACTAAACTTAAGAATCAATCTATAAAATTTCATCTATATTTTATTCAAGAGTAATTTTTTATTCAATATAAGATTCTACACTAGCTTAAGAATTACGTTTGGATATGATTTAGCTTTGCGATTTTTAAATGAGTAAATCGAAAACTTTAATATTTTTGAGATTTTATTATTTATCTAATTTTAAAGAAGATAATGAATAGTTGATTTTTTCTTGGTTTTTTTTTTTTTTTTTGGGACTTTTACTATTATCATCATCATCATCATCATTAATTTAAATATGTTTTTAATTTTTATTTTTTTATAGAGGCGAATTTATTTAATTCTTTTTTAATGCAGAATCGTTTAAAAAATATGAAGTTTCTTCTTATTCATTTTTCATTAATTGGGAAAAAAATGAGCTTTTTTAATGCTCAATTATATTTTAGTATGAAATATTAGTTTGTTAATCTTCTATTTAATATTTATTTTATAAAAAATCTTTTGTATATAAATTATTTTATTTTTCTAACTTAAAAATCTCCTAAATTTCATTTTTTTAGGGATTTTATTCCTATGTTATTTTTAATTTTTCTATCTACAAAGGTTTAAAAGTATTTCCGTCGAAATTTTAAATTGATTAAATTTTTGGACTTTTTTTTTTTTTTAATCGCTTAATATTTATCCTGACCAAAACTCACTTTCAGTAAATACTTAATATTTAAATTTATTATCTTTATATCTATTTTTTTTTTCTTATTTATATTAATCAAAGGATGTTTAATTATTTAAAGAAACCTAAAATTTTTTTAAAAAATATTCTCTTCGTAATTTTTTTTTTTATTATTATGATAATTATGAGATTTCTGTTTTGTGAGTACTTGGTGAATCTCGTTTTAAATATTAAATTTATGATGTTTAGTTTTAATGTATTTCTTACATTGAAATTATTTATAACTAATTTTAATTTATTTCTAATGAATTCAGATTTTTATTTTAGTTTATTATTATACTTTATAAATATTGGTTTTAATTCATATTAATAGATATATATTATTATTATTTTATTTTTTATTAATATTTATATAATTTTATTTTCATATTTAAAATAATATAAATAAAAATTTATTTTTATTGATATAGAAAAATATTATTTTATTATTAGTTTTTATTAAAATTATTTTTTATATTTTTTTATATTTTCAATTACTTTATATGTTAAATGTTTTTTATTTTATATATGTGATTTTAAAATTAAAATTAAACTTGATTTTCTTCTAATTACATTATTTAAAAAAAAAAAATATAAAATTTTATTATAATTTATTTTTTTATATTCGCATATAAAATTAATTATTGGTATTCTAATTATATTTTTATTTAAAGTAGAATAATGTTTATTATTAATTATAAATTTTAATTTTAATATTTATACATTTACTTATACATACTCTAATATTTATTTTTGATTTAAAGTTAAATTATTTTTTATTTTAAATATAATATATAAAAAACACAATTTTTTTTTTTAAAGTTAAAAAAATAGATTAGTTAATACATATAACTTATTTTATAAATAAAATATATTTATTTTTAAAATGACCAATAAAAAAACAAAGGCTAATTAATAAAATATTCAAATTTTTTAAAACTATGACAAGAAGTAAATTAATTCGATTTCGATTCTAGCATCTAAAAAAAAAAAACATTTTTAATTAAAACAAATATAAATTTATATATATATTTTTAATAAACTTAAAAAATAAAAGTATACGTGAAGATAATAATATAATATGTGCGATTTCACTTGGAAGTAGCTTAATATTTATATTTTATATCATTTCTAATTTAATGTCGTAAGGTTTTTTAACAATTTACCTTAAAAATGTTTTTAATTAAATAGGTAATAATGCATTCATCTTTTTATTTTATTTTTTAAAATAAAAATAAAAAAATTACATCAGTTTTATAATTTGCATCATAATGAGTATATCCGAATATATTTTAAATATATAATCTAACAGCCTATCTAAAAGGCATAGTATTTAATTCTTTAGTTTCAAATAAACTAAAATATATGTATATATATTTATATATACTTAAAAATATATATTTTACTTATTATTAGTCATAGTTTTTATAGTTTCAAATGCATTTTTGTAATCTTTCGAAATATCCGTACAATATTTATTTGCGATTTAAAATCCATGAATACTATAATTGAATTCCGAATATCTAAGTACAGAATTGACTTTATCTTCGAAATTATTAAGTGGAAAGACAATAAACTTTTTATAAATATCATATACTTGTTAATATTTTAATGCATCTTCTTATTATTATTATTAATCTTCTGTTAATGTAATACTCGGTGTATTTTTCTTTTTTCTTCCAATATTTGCTATTTATTCTTAAACTTCAACCTCATCAGCACTGTCATTATTATCTTTTTTTAAAATTTTTTCCAAATTTAGATTACAATAATTTTATGTTGAATTATTATTCTAATTAAAATCTAAAAATTTATATTTTATCCCTTTTTCTTCAGGCTTTTCTAAATCGAACTCATTTTTTATACCTAAAGCTAAACAAATACAAGAAAAGCCATGATAAAAAACTAATATAAAAATTGCTAACATTAATTCATTTTTTTACCATCCAAATTAAAGCAAACTCTTTTTTTTTATAAAAATATATATTTATATATATTTTACACTTATTATATGTGGATTTTTATATAATTCATAAGGAGTATATGCTAATTTGGAATTTATTTCGGCTAATTATTATATCTTTGGTGGACTGTATTTTATTCCTGTTTCAAGCCATTCAATATTACCTCCTATGTTTAAAAACTATTAAGACAATCTGTTATGTAAATAATCACAGCCATAACAGGAAGTTGCCTTTTTTTTATTTTTAATAAAATAAATTTATAAATTTTTATTTATTTATTTTGTAACTAAAATAGCAATATAATATCTTTGATCAACTGGAATTGGACCTGATCCATAAAACAAATTTTATGTTAAACTATTATAATGTTTTAAATAATCAGGAAACCAACATAAAAGTCTTTCCAAATGAGGAATTCTACAATTATTTTGATTATATATATCTCCTATTATAGTTCTAAACTCTTCGTTTTATAAATTATTTTATAATATCGGCCAATCTGTAAATAGACTTTATTATTCTTGTTCATTAAATAAATATTATCCTAAAATTTATATTGAAGGCAAATTTTCGTTTTTATAAAATTCTGAAATTCTTTACTCTTATAATTAATTACTAGACTATTTATAGTTTTTTTTTTAAAAAAAAAAAAATTAAAATATACGTTTTTAATTGATTTTTTTTATGTATATATATATTTATTGAAAAAAAAAAAAAAAACATAAAACTATTCATATAATTCTTGAAACAATCTCGAACATTCTTTAAAAGGATTTTATTATATCATTATTTCAATTTTTATTCTTATAAAATCTTAATATCTATAATATTTTAATAAAAATAAATATTTTCTTTTTTATTAAGTTTTATATAAATTAGATATTTTTTTATTTTTTTTAATAATTATAAAATTATATGTATTTTTTATTACTATTAATTTTTATCTTTACAATGCTCAATTATTATTTGCTTTATTTCTTCTATGCATTTTTTACACTATTTTTTTTTAATTTGCTGTTATTTAATATAATTATTTATATTTTGAAAAAAAAAATGTCATTTGTAAAGAAAAAACCATTTTTTATTTTATGTTTTTTAAATATACTTATTCAATTCTGCTTTATTTATAATCTGAGTCCAAATATGTGGGAAAAGCATAATTTATATTTTTTTTTATTTAAGAATTATTTAATGGGCATGTTATATGATATTAGTCTTGCATATTATTATTAAATAATTAATATTTTATTTATTTGTTTTGAAAATTTCAATTAAAAATCTTATTTTATATATTTTTTTTATTTGTTTTAATTATTTATAATATAAATTTTCAATATGTATATATTTAAAAATAAAATATTATATTTTTTATTAAATTAGCTAAATTTAAAAACATAAATAAAAATATACAAATTTATCATAAATAAATCAATTTTTAATAATTTATAACATTTTTTTAGATTATATAACTTATATTGTGTTTAATTATTTTAATATTTCAAGTTTACTTATATTTTACTTTTGTTAATAAAATAATAAATTTCATATTTTTTTTATAATAATATATTCATTAAATTATCTTATATAACAATAATTATCTCTATATAACTAAAATTATATATATTTATTAATTTATAAATAATTTTTATTTTTAAACATAATAAATAATCAAAGTATGCATTGAAAAAGTAAAAGGTACTTTTTTGTAAGTTAAGTTTTTTAAAAAATACATAAAAATATTAAAAACTTAAAAAAATATATAAAAATATTATTAAAAAGATTAAATCAAATAAATAATAAATCTATAATTAAACATTAAAAAATAAAAATTGTTTTTAATATAATTTTAATTTTATAGATTTAATTTAAGAAAAAAATATTGCATCATATATCATTTTTATAGACAAAAGTATATTATAAATTATATATAATAAACAAATAATAGATTTTAAAATAATTTTTGATTTTAAAAAATAATAAAAATTATAAATTTCTAAAAAATAAAATAAATAAGAAAATTATAGAAAATTTGATTATTATATAATATATGTATATATATATATATATTTAATAATATATATATTTATAAATACAAAAATGCAATATATAAATAGTATATTTTTTTGCAAAAGAGAAATTTATATTATATAATTTTCATTTTAATTAATTTATATTATATATTTTATATTTTATTGTAATTTTCATTATTATTAAAGTATTTAGTTTATTAAAAGTTATTGTATTAATTTTTTATTTTACAAAGAAATATTCTACTCAACTAAAGGAATTAAGTTAGATTATTAATTATACAAAATGTTTTAAATACATTATAGTTATTATTAATTAAATAATATATTTTAAGGGAATGATAACTAAGTGTTATTAGATTACTATTCTTATTAAATATTTGGAGCTACAAGAATTATATTTTTATTAATTTTTTATTATTTTTAAGAGTTTTATTATTTACCTAATTCAGATAAATTTGTAGAAATAGAGTTAAATTTGCTTTCTTAATTAATTTTAGGAGATAATTATTTTTAATCTGTTTATTAAAAAGATGAGTTTTCTTATTATTTTTGTTTTCTTCTATGTAAAGTTAAAATAGTTTTCGCAGAACTATAGTTTATATTTAATTCTTCAGCAGCTTTTTTAATAGACCTATTTTGATTTTCTATTTTTTCAATGAATTTTTATCTAAGAGACTAGGTTATTTTATTATATTTTCTTTAAGCATGTGGAGCTTAACGCATAATTTCTTGGTCAACTTCTTTTAATATATCTTCAAGTATTTTCATTTTATTATTAATAATTTATTTTAATAGGAGATGTATCTTAATTTTTTTTTTTTTGTTATTTTTTTTAGATTTTAAGAAAATTTGTTATTTATTTATTTATTAGTTTTTAGTTTTTTTTTTAATTTATTTATTTATATTTTTTTTTTATTATTTTTTAATATTATAATTTATTGAGTATTATATATTTTTATAATATTAATAACAAAAAAGAAGAATATGACGTAATTATAATGTTAATATATTCAAAAAAGTAATTAATTTATAATATAAACGTATTATATTATTAAATATTATTAATCGTCATAATAACACAACATATTCATAAATATTATATTAAAATAGGCTAACAAAATAAAGAAATAATAATAATTGATCAAAGATTTTTATTCCTTATATAAAAGAAAGTATATTTTATAAATATAATTAAAATACTATTTATATATAAAAAAATGTAATTCAATTTATATAATTTATATAAGTAAATATATTTAAATTTATATAATTTTAAATGAATATATTTATGTATTATTATTATTTTTGGTATTAAATAACTCATAATTTTATGAATATTTAAGTAAATTGCAATTTTTTAAAACTAATATATTTTCAATTTTTTATTTGTAAAAAAAATTCGAAATATTAATATTGTTATAGTATTATTTTCAAATATTATAATAAAATTTATAAATATAAAAATTATAAAAAATGATATTTATTAAATATTATTTATATATTTTTAAATTTAATATAATATTATATATAATTCATATAATTAATATCAATATATTTAATTCTCAATTTATAAATAAAAAAAAAACTTAAATATCGCGAAAAATAAAAAATTTATCATCTTATATAATATATAGAAAAAAAATTTTAATTATTTTTATATATTAATACATATTATTAAAATTAATAAAAACAACATATATATATATATAAATATATATATATACATATATATTAAATTTATATATTTATTATTTTTATATTAAATTAATTTTATACTTTAAAGTAATTTTGATATTTAATTTTAATATTTATATTTTCATATTTATATTTAATTAAATAATCAAAATATTTATTAAATTCTAATTATAATATCAATAAATAATTAATAGTAAATATTTTATTTAAATTTTTTTTTAATTTATATTTTAATTTTTTTATAAATTTAAATAATTCATTATGAAAAAAAATGCTAAAAAATTAATTAATACATTTATTATGATTAAAAATATTAAGAAAATAATAAAATATTACAAATATATGTTTTAAGAAATAAAAAAATAATATTAATATTGTAAAACAAATTAAATAAAAAAATTAAATATTTTTTAAATTAAATAGTACAATTTTATAATAAATAAAAGTGAATATAATAAAAGTATATATATTATAAAAAAATAAAAAAACAAATATAATATAAAATAAATAATATATAATATATAATATATATTATATATTTATTTTATAATATATATAATTATATTATATTTAAAATTTTTTATTATTTATATAATATATAATAAATAAAATACATTTAAATATTTGCATATTTATTATATCATTTAATTATAATAATATATAGTTTTATTTTATTTTATATTTTTTTTATATTTATATTTTTTAATATTGATTTATACTTATTAATTATATTGTTTTTCTCATTTAATGTAATGTTTATAAAAAATTTTATTTTATTATTTATAATTTTTTTTTATTAAGATTTTATAATATATATATATATATTTTTATATATATATATATTTATATATAAATTATTTATTCTATAAAAATTTTTTATTTATTTTAAAAAAAGATATTTTTTATTTTAAGGAAAATAAAAGAATTATTTTAATAAACCATAAATACAATAAAATAAAAATAACAAAACATAATATTTTTTCATTTTATTTTTTAAAAGCAATATAGTTTAGCTGACGATGATTTGCTATTTATATTTAATTCTTTTTAGTCAGGTTTTTCGTCTTTATATAAGATTTTTATTATATGTTATTTTTTCTGATTTTTTTTAAATAGATTTAAAATAATTATATAAATATTATATATATATATATATATATATATATATATATATATGTAG